ATTTAAGATCCCCATTTTACACAGAAAGAGCTGGGCCTCATGGATGTGAAATAACTTGCCCAAGCGTAGAAGTTCTAAGTGACAGAGCCGGCTTTGACCCTACATAGTCTGGCCCCACACTCAAGTTTACCAACCACTACACACACTGCCTAGTACTAGTAGCCATGATAGCAACCGTTGACATTTATTGCACCTCAACTATACACCAGCTATGAGTTTTAGGTATATGTATTAATGCCGTTAATCTTCATAAAAACTCCATCCGATAGATATTTATCATCCTATTCTTACTGAGACACAGAGAGGTCAAGTAACTTGCCTAGGGTTCCCCAGCCGGTGAGTGAAGGAACTGGGTTTCAAGTCTACGTGGAGTGCCTTCAGAGGCAACGCTCTTAGGCCTTTCTGCTCTTGCTCGCAAGTGCTCTGAGCTTGGGCTTTGTGTAACAGGTGCACAGTACTATTGATGACCCTTTGTAAAGTGTATTCTGTCTCCCCTGGGAAAATACCCAGGGAGCCATAGAACCAGAGATGCAGCCTTCAGTTCTGGTCTGCTTGTTTGCCTCCCCAGCATTTTCCCCCTCGTTTTGGTAAGAGCACACTAGTTTCCTGTTGGAGACTGTATTAGTTTTCTATCATTACTGTAACAAATTACCAAAAACTTAGTGGCTTAAAACAACACACATTTGTTATCTTACAGTTCTGGAGGTCAGGAGTCCAGAATAGTTTTCACTGGGTAAAATCAAGGTGTTGGCAGTGCTGTTCCTCCAAGAGGCCCTAGCAGAGAATCTGTTTCTTTGGTTTGTCCAGTTTCTAGAGACTGCCCATTCCTTGGCTTGTAGCCTCATTCCTGCGTCTTCAAAGCCAGCAACGTGTCCAGGTCACGTCCTTCTCATGCTACCATCTCTCTGGTTGCCCCTCTTCTGTCTCCTTCTTCCACTTAAAGACCCTGGTAATTATATTGGGTTTACCTGGATTATTTTCCTAGTTTAAGATCAGCTGATTGGCAATCTTAATTCCTCTTTGCCATGTAACCCATTCATATAGCGTCCCAGGATTAGGATACAGACCCCTTTGGAGTGGGGTTGGGAGCCTTATTCTGCCTGCCATGGGGAACCTCTCTTCTTCACCCTTGGATCATATATTCTGGGTTAGTCTAACTCAACAACACTGACTCAAAGGATGGGCTTGGGACTTTTACTGGAATCTTTGGCAAAGAGGTGCCTCCTCCCTCCCTGAAGGGCTGATCACAGCTCATCTGCTCTGAAGATGGGGCCTCTCACTGGGAGGTCGGAGCCCTGTCCACACTGGCTGTTAAATATTGTGACGTTCTTCCTGCTGCCAGGGTTGATGAGCCAGTACTGCTGGGATGAGCGTTCCCATAAATGAGGCCTCTCCCTCGTGCTGCTTCTTCTGGGAACTACTATGCGGTACTTGCAATCTCTAAAAAGCAAAGACAACTAGAATAAGATCCCTTTCATGATATCCAGCTTAGCACTGGTTAGTACTTTGCTTAGTACTTGCTGAGTTTGTTTACTACTTGCTGGCTTGATTTGAGCATCAGGATTGTACATCAATGTTCAACAATCATTTTGATTCCTTTTCTAGCCTCTCCTTTGTCATTCTTAGCATCCTGGAAGTTTAAAGAAATGCAGAGACACATCTGTTTGCTAGGATCAATCTGAAGGACGCTTTATCAGTCAGTTTTCTGCTGTGTGAATGCCGTGTAACAAATGACTCTAAAATCTCAGTGACTTATCAAAAAAAGCATTTCCTCTTCTTCCTCACAGGTCTGTGGGGCAGCTGGGGCAGCTCTGCTCTGGGCCACAGATTGAGTTCGGGTCTACTCTACATCTCTCCCATTTTCCTTGGATCAGCAGCTACCCAGGACAGTTCTTCTTGAGGTAGAGAACAGAAGCACAAGAGGCCAAGGCAAACTACAGAAGCACGTATACAGTCTCTGCTCGTGTCCTGTCCACTGACATTTTATTGGCCAAAATAAGTCATATGCCAAGTCCAGCAGCAGTGGATGGGGAAATATACTCTGATCCCTCCAGTGGGAGGCACTGTAGAGCAACCTGGCAAAGACTGGATGCATTCCAAGGTGGTAGAGAAGAATCGGGATCATCCATTCCCACCACAAACTCCCTCCATTTTGATATTGCCCTTCTCTTTCACAAAAAGGAGAAAATAGCTATATAAAAAGGCCATTTCAAAGATTTCTGCACAAATTTTCTAAAAGCTATTTCCAGAAGTTACCAGAATTGGTAAGATTTCATCCCATCTCCTCCCTGTAGGTCCAGTTTCATGGGACTTGTGCAGGAGCACAGGGCCCCACCCTCAGAAAGACCCTGTGCATGGTTTAACACTCTGCTGTCGCCGTTGTGACGTTCTTAATAATTTTTGCACAAGGGGCCCAGAGTTTTCATTTTGCACTGGCCCCCACAAATTATGTAGCCAGTCCTGCCTACACATGCTATATTTATTGTCCCAGAGATGAGAATTAATGCTCAGAATGGCAACCCTGAGACCTACAGATTCCAGAATGACCCAAAATTCAATTACAATTACCATGTTCTTTCATTTGTTCAACATGTTTATTGGGTGCTGTTATAATTCTAGGTTTTAGAGGTAAAACCATGAACTAACCAGCCCAGCACTCATGGAGTTTACATCGTGCCATACTTCCTGTGGTCCACCCACTGGACAGATGACTTTCATTTACAGCTACTAAGGGGAAATCAGATGCAGAGACGCATAGCAGAGTGTGCCAGTGATGACGGATGTTGGGGCCACAGGCAACCCCAGGAGTCAGCGGAACTCTGTCGATCCCGATCTCTTCTCCTCAAGGAAGCAAATCAGAATGCGAGTAAGAGTGATCCTATTAGACAGCTCAGCTTAAACCCACTCTGTGTTGTAAAGATAATAAATCTTTCACAACTTTGCTACTTTGGATATTATTCTAGTCTCTCGAGTGGGAAAAAGACAGATCCATTTGAGAAAGGTTTTCAGCCATAAAGACTGAAGTCAAAGAGCAAAGCAAGTTCCTGGTTAACATTTCCCAGGGGCTCCGCAAATACTGTGAGAAATGCCACTTTGTGACAGCTTCAGCCGAACACCAGCCCCGTCCTTCCGGAGAGCCACTTACTCCAGTCTTGCTCAGAGGAGTGGAAAGATGTCAAATAGCTGATCTGCTTGAAAGATCAAAACAGGATTATTTCACACTCGAGAAGCAGGGATCCTGCCCTGGGAAGGAACCAGTGCCTTTTCTCATTTGCTTAATTTACAGGAATTCAGCCCTTAGGCCCAATACTCACACCCCCACCCCCACCCAAAACCAGACTCTGCTTTCAGCAAGCCCAGCTGCAGGAAACACATTAACAACACACACTGGTGCCTCCCTGAGACAGAAGGCACCACCAGCTCTCTCAAAGCTTGTCCCTCCAGTCTCCCAGGGTGGGAGTTCTCAGACTTCAGCTTTCATCAGAATCACCTGAAAGGCTTGTTAAACACAGATGTCAGGGCTTCAACCTAGAGTTCTTGATTCAGTGCGTCTTAGATGGGTTCCCAAAATTTGCTGTTCTCATAAGTTCCTGATGCATCAGGCAGCAGGTGCCTGACGCTGCTGGTCCAGGTACTGGCCTTTGAGGACTACAGCTTTAGGCCGTTGTCTTGGGCCCTGAAATGCTGCATGAGCATCACTGTCCTAAGTGCAGGGAATGCGCCCAAACAGACCCTCATTCTCTTTGGCGTCTGACCACCCTCATCTCAACTTTCCTCAGCTCCCATTCATTTTCTAAGTCCCTTCAATAGTCTTCCTGTCCGACTCCACTGAGCGTTCTTGCTGAAGTTAAAAATGAAGTTAAACCTTTTAGGGGCACTAGCCTGTGTGCCCTTTAAGAGCCATGTATCCTTGAAACCCCTTGTCTGGGCCACATGCCAGCATTCACGATGATAACAGTCTGGGGCTTGGCTAACCCAGCTATTTCTCATGGGATAGTTAGTACAAAGACCATCCTGGTCTGAGGGAACACGGAGGCCCTCTGGAGAGGGCTCTGGCCCTTGGAATGTAGGTCATACAGGGATAGTCCCCCTTGGCAAGCATGCAGCCTTTGTTCCTCTGCCTACTTAAGCAAGCTTCTCTCAGGGGCAGTGCACACTTTCATCCAGCCAGCTGCCACTGGACCTTCCCTGTAAGTAACTCCCAATAAACCCAACTCATTTGCCATCTCTGGGCCTTTTCGTCAGTCTCTCTGCAACCTGTCCTGCACTGCTTACCCAACTGCGTGTGTGGCGAAACAAGCCTGCTGCCGAACTTAATGGACAGGGGCCGTCACCACTGGGGTATGTCACGGGCTACATCCTAACTTAGCATGTCTAACGCAGCCCATATCTTTCCCCCTGTGCTCTTTGTCCGGTATCTGAGCTGCCCAGCCACATGTGTTCCTTCCTCCTGGTAACAGCATTGCTCTTATTGCAGAAACTGCCCCTCCCTATTCAGCGTGGCTCAGATGTGATTTCCAACCCAACCTTTCTGATGCCTTGATTTTGGACTTCTGGCCTCCAGGACTGTGAGAGAATAAATTTCTGTTTTAAGCCACCCAGCTTCGGGTAACTTGTTACAGCAGCCACAGAAAACTAATACACCCTGCTTCCATTCTAATGAGAGGAGGCGGTAAACCCTGCTTAGGAGATCTGACCTAAGATACAGAAAGCAGGATATTTAAAAGCCTTCTCAGGGCAGGACTGGTTGCTTGAAAACAGTCCAGCCACCAGCCTATTCAGCATGGAGATAGTTACCGTGTTGGCACAGACACTGAGCACACCCAAGTAGGATAATCTATTTCTTACACCATCCCTGTTTATTTGGTACCTTGAAGTTGTAGGTCATTCTCTCCCTGGTAGACAGAGGACAGACTTGCTTTGTATAATAAATTAAAAAATTGTTTTAGTTTCACTGAACAGCTCCTTTCCCGGAAAGCTTAAATTAATTTCCTTTGTAATTTGTGATAATAAGTGCTGATAGCAAATTTCCTTGCCAGCTTTTGTAATCCCGATGACATCACAGAACCTCCATCACTGTAGGAAATTGTTCTTCTAGGTGGCTGTGATGACATCAACCACTACAAGGGGAAGAAAAAGAAACAACAGGAAATTCTGCGTTCAGCTATTAACTGATAAATGAAGGAGGAACTGGCTTTTAAAGTAAGTTTCCTTAACTAAGCAGCATTCTCAGTGACTTGGCTATATTTATTCAATCTATTTATCTGTATAATCTCACATGTAGTACAAGTCCCTAGTCGGAAAATCAGGGAGTATAGGCCACAGCCCCTCACTTTGGGAGTCCCCAGGTCACAATGCCTCATGTCAGGAATGAGCAGAGGGGCTAAAAAAGACCCAGGCACAGGGCAAGGAGATAATTTTCAGAAATAAAGAAAGAAAAAAGAGAAGAAAAGAAAAGAAATACAAATGGCCAATAAACATTTAAGCTGGGGAACCTCACCAATTGTATTAGTCAGGGTTCTCCCAAGAAACAAAATGAGTAAGATGTGTGTATATAGAGAAATTGAGCTTTATTTTAAGGAACTGGCTCATGCCATTGTGGGGTCAAGCAAGTCCAAAACATGCAGGGCAGGCCAGCAGGCTGGAAACTGAGGCAAAAGCTGATCTCAGTCTTTTCTCTTAAGGTCTTCAACTGATTGGATGAGGCCCGCCCACACTATGGAAGGTAACCTGCTTTACTCAAAATCTACTGATTTAAATGTTAATCTCATCTAAAAAATACCTTTGCAGCAGCATCTAGACTGGTGTTTGACCAAAAACTGGCCACCATAGCCTAGCCAAGTTGACACATAAAATTAGCCATTACACTAATAACGAAAAAGCAAATATAATTGACAATAAGCTATTTTTCACCCAACGGGTTTGCAGAGATGGAAAAGAATTACACCTCACTTTGTAGAGAGAGAACAGAATACTCATATACCATCGGTGAGGGCACAGACACCAAAACCTTTTCTGTAGGGCAGTTTGGCAGTATCAAAATGTCAAATGTGCCTACCTATGACCCCACAATTCCACTTCTAGGAGCTTACCCTAAAGGGACATTCAAACAAGTGCAGAACGGTGAGTAAATGTGGATGCTCCTGCAATGTTATACATGATAATGAAAAACTGGAAGCAGCTTCACTGTCCATCAGTTGGGAGCAGGTTAAGTAAATTACAGTACATCTGTACAATGGAATACACCACAGACTTTAGAAAGAGTGAAGATGGTCTTTATTCCTAGCCATGAAATGATCTTTACGGTATGATGTGTGAAAAAAGCAGGTTTCAGAAGATCACATAGAGTTCGATCTCATTTATGTACAATTGAATAAGTAGATTGATATATTTCCTAGAAAGGACATTTACCAAAATCTTAACTGTGGTTATCTCTGGGTGGTGGAATTTCAGGTTATTTTTATAACATTTATTGAGGGCTTAATATGTCTCAGGCATTCTTCTAGGTACTTTACATGGATTACATTCATTTAATAATGTATATTTGCATTTGTTTAAAAAAACAAAAGCATGTATCATTTTTTTCCCCCAAAACTAAGAAGCAGTTTTAAATATATCCCTTCTGTTCTCATACGTGGGCAGCACTTGTTTCCTAAAGCCCCACAACCTTGGGACCACGGAGAGCCTGAAACTGCTCTATGCAGATCCCACCCAATATTATTACTGGCAATCTCCCCACTTCACAAAAAATGGACATTCTCCCATTGCTATTGGAGTGTTTTGTTTGCTTGTTTTCGTGGCCCCTCTCTTGTTTATTATGGACTTAGTGAGTGAGTAACGCGTTCCCTTTCAGTCCTCATTCTTACTCTGAACCCTCTCCCATAGGCAGCTTTACTAATGTATTTAATTTGCATCCTTTTGTTTCTGTGTGTTCTTATAAAACATGCATCGATAAGCTTATTTCAGACTCTCAGTGGTCCCAAGGTTGTGTGGCACCTTGTGCCAATGCTGACATCTGGAGGCCTGATCTTCAGCCCCAAGACTCCTTTATGTGTCTTCCCAAAGATCTAATATGTTCTTCGTCATCTCCCAGCTCAATATTCACTAGAGGAATAGGAATGTGTGTGATTAAATCCCACTGTGACCTTTCTGGTTGTTTTTTTTTTTTAAAGATTGGCACCTGAGCTCACATCTGTTGCCAATCTTCTTTTTTTCCTTCTTCTTTTCTCCAAAGCCCCCCAGTCCATAGTTGTATATTCTAGTTGTAAGTCCTTCTGGTCATGTTATGTGAGATGCTGCCTCAGCATGGCCTGATGAGTGGTGCCATGCCCGCGCCCAGGATCCAAATCAGTGAAACCCTGGGCCGCCAAAGTGGAGCGCGCGGACTTAACCACTTGGCCACGGGGCCGGCCCCACTGTGACCTTTCTATAATTTCTGCTTTCTACTCATCCCATTGGCTGCTTTTAACTTTAGTCTGATTTAATCTGCAGAAAAATGCTAGGGGTGGGGTACGGTGAGGGCGAGGTTTATCTCAAAGTTAATGAAGCTTGAGCTTCAAGGCCTCTAACTTGTAAAGGCCGTAGGAGTCCTGACAATATGTTCACAAGCGGACATGTTTTTCTTAAATTTGCAAAATTAAGACACTTTAACCACAATCAGTTAAGACCTCTGTTTTTGCTCTCTGACTTTCCTTCCATCACAATCTCACTCGTGTCAGAGAGTTTTGGAGAAGCCTTGGACATCATGGGATCTGGCTAAAGGAAAGCTGGCTTGGGGATACACATAGTGGGGTTTGGTGGATATATTTACATGTTTCTTAGGCACTATTGTCTCCTCTTGCTTTAGTATTTGCATCCTAAAATTGTACTCTTTTCTTAAAAAGCATTTCCGATATTATAACGCTTCCCTCCACCTCCCAAAGCTGGGTCTGCCCACACAGTGAAGCACATTGTAATTTGCTTCAGAGCCCATGTATCCCCAGGGGTGAACTTGGATCTTGACGGTTCTGTCCTGATCTTAGTTTTGAAACATTCCTGCTGTAGGTGGACCCCTAATTTCCACTTAACAAGGGCAGCGCTTGGCTCAGAGTGTGGCTTCCAATCTGTATCTCTTTGTTGGTTTTCATTCTGTGCTTCTCCCCACTGTCCACCTACACATGCACCCTCTCTCTCTCTTCTATATCTGGTTCAGTCGAATCTCCTATTTAAATATCAGAAGCTAGAGAGCAGATTGGCAATGATCCAGTTTTAAAAAATGAGCTCAAATGTACAAGGCAAACACTTTCAAGACTGCCCACAGCTGCCAGTCTTAACTCTAGAGGTCAAGAGGAGGAACAGGCTCACGTGGCAGGTGCCCCGTCTAGGTCTCTGGAATTGAAGTTGTTTAATGAGGTAGAAATATTTCCAACTCTTCGCCTAACACAACAGTGAGAAAAGTCCCTCAAACCAACATCTCAGCAAAATTTTTAGCACACAAAGACAGTGCCCAAGAACTATTAAGTTAACAGAATCTCATTTTAGAGGAAAGCACTAAATTTGCAAATGAACTCTGTTTCCATCTCAAGTGTCCTGGAAGAGAGGTCTTTCCACTGGCCTAAAGTAAGATCAAGTTTTTTGCTGGTTTTTGGGGAGTAGGGGAAAATTGTTTTCATTTTCTTTCCCCCTGTAAAAGGCCTTTCCAGGAGTGTTAACCCTACCTATGTTAGTTTTTAAAAATGTTAACCTTAATTTTTCTGGAAGACTTTTAAATCATTTTTTCTGGTTATAAAAGTAATCCATTCATGTACTGATTGAACAAATATTTACTGAATGCCTACAATATTTCAGGCCCTGCTCTAGGTAATTCTTTCACTAGGAGAGTGTTCCTAAGTTATTAAATAGTCTTTGTGATGTTATTTAATATCATAATATTTTACGAGAAGCAAGTCCCAGAATTTATTTAGACATTCTCTTTTTGTTTTTTTTGTTTTTTGTTTTTTTTTTGAGGAAGATTAGCCCTGAGCTAACTGCTGCCAATCCTCCTCTTTTCACTGAGGAAGACTGGCCCTGAGCTAACATCCATGCCCATCTTCCTCTACTTTATATGTGGGACACCTACCACAGCATGGCTTGCCAAGTGGTGCCACGTCTGCACCTGGGATCCGAACCAGTGAACCCCGGGCCGCCAAAGCAGAACATCTGAACTTAACCGCTGCGCCACCAGGCTGGCCCTCTTTTTGTTAAACATTTAGACTGTTTCCAATTTCTCCCTGTTGCAAATAATGCAGCAATGCCCTTCTTTGTACACAGACCCTTGTCTATATCTATGATTACTTCTTCAGGACAGATATCTAGGAGAGAAATTACTAGATCAAAGGCTATGAACACTTTTAAGTTTCTTGATAAATATTCCGGCAGACTTGCTAATGCATATTGTCACCTTTGACTGCCTCAAATCCTCTTCAAGTGAAAGACAGGAGAGCATATTCTATTCCTTCTATGGAGATTTGTAGATTCCTAAAATGATTTCATTTCCTGGTGGCAACAAAAGTAATCTGATGGTGGTAAAATTAATGTTGTCTTCTTGAACGCCTGTATTCTTTCCTTACGACACCCATCTTCTTAAGACCACATTTTGCATTTTTTTGCAAAAGCAAAACACTTAAAGAGGAAAGAGTATCCACGCACTCCTCTGCTCATTGCCCTCACTCCAGGCAGACAAGAAGTCAACCTGAGAAGGAAATCCTTGTGAGTGATACGGAGTCATGGAGAGGGATGTCAGATTATATTAGTCATCTTCACTACTGTACATTTTGGGCTTGTTCGGGGGGAGGGAGGATGTGTAACTCAACGCATCCCTGAATAGCCTTGCTCACAGTAAGAGCACCTGACTCACTGAGCCTTCCGAGCCCATCAGCCCTCAGTCCTGGCCAGTGAAACGGTAAAAACGCCTGACGGAGGGGCTTTTCAATACGGAAGCAATTTCATTGCATAGCACTGTATCCTTTAATTTTTTTCTGGAACAACTCCATTCTCTCTCTTTACTAAGAAAAAAATCTGCTTTTCAAGAAAATTAGTGCCATCTTGAGAATGTCCCCAGTAGGTGGTGCTCAAGAAAAAAAACTAAGGGAAACCAACAAAACCAGGAGCAGGTCCCCTTTGGTCTCGTTCAAGGTGGAATATTTGCTCACTGCATTGCCTTGTTGTCTTATTTGGATCAGAAGCTGCTTTAGCAGGAATTTTGCTTATGTGATGGTCTACTTAGGACAAAAGCTATTAAGATTGAAATTCAACTTTTTCTCTTTCCTGAAAGACAGGCGGCCTGAACATAACTCATTGCCTGGTCTTTACCCTGCAGCTGAGTCCAGGCCATGGAGAAATCCAAGATGAAGGCAGAGAGCTGCTTCTTTGGATGACCAAAGGGGGTTACCGAAGTGGAGAACAGAATCTGTGGTGGCGTATGGAACGGCCGTCATTCATTCACCCGACAATGATGTATTGAAGGCTTAGTATGGCAGGAACTAAGCTAACCAGGCACTGGTGGGTAAAATAGAGAGATAAGCGGCCCTCCCAGAGCATGCTGCCGAGTGAGAAGCAAACATGAAACAATCAATCACGCCCATAAGTGTAAAACTGCAGTCTCGGTAAGAGATGCGGCAGCAAGAACGCAGAGCTGGACCACCTATAAGGGATTTACCTTAATGGGGAAGGTAGGCAGCTGTTGCTGGAGTTTAGATCTGAAGGATACGCTGGGCAAGAGGGAAGGAAGTGTGTTCCTGGCAGAGGGAGGAGCATAAACACAGGGGCTGCAGTCAGAGAAGAGGGGAGTGTGCAAGACGACTCCAGAAAAATGATCAGGCCATGCAGGGTTTGGGTCTTCATCCTAAATGGGTCTTTAGGCTGTTAAAGCCCCTATTACTTGACAATTCCACTCTTAGGCATTTACCCAAGAGAAATGAAAACTTATGTCCCCAAAAGACTTAACACGAATATTCATAGCAGCCTTAAAATAGCCTAAAACTGGAAATAATACAAATGTCCATCAACAAGAGAATGGATAAATAAATTGCAGTATATTCATACTCAATTGAAAGGAATGAACACACAACAACACAGAATACTCTCAAAAAGATTATGCTGAGTAAAATAGCCAGACATAAAAACCTCTATACTGTATATTTGTATGAAATCCAAAACCAGGCAAAACTAATCTATGGCGATAAAAATCAGAAAGTGGCTGGTTCTGGGTGTGGGGGCCAGGCAGGGGGTGACATGACTGGAAAAGGGGAGCAAGGGAGCTTTCCGAGGTGATACCGATGTTTTGTGTCTTCTTTGGGGGGGTGATTTCAGAGGCACATCCAATTATCAAAACTCCTCAAACTGGACTGAAGATCTTGTTTTAGATTTTTTACAATATATATCAAAAAAATTTTTTTAAGTACAATACACACATTAAAGTGTTTTAAGCACAGGACTGACATCAGATTTGCATTGTGAAAAGAGCCCCTGGCTGTGGTCTGGAGAAGGATAAGAAGAGGCCAGAAGGGAAGTGGGTAGACCGGTTCCTCTGCTTTATGTGAATTACCTAGAAGCCAGCATACCCCTGAGCACCAATGCGTATCAGCCCGTCACCTGCCTTTAACACAGAATTCAGACCTCCCCTTGCTGACCTCCTCTAGGAATTGTGCAAAACAGTTGTCAATGGACCGCAAAGGGAATTTAGCTGGGAAACTGGGGCAAGAGACTAAAGAAACCACAGACAAAGGAGAGAAATTAAACCAAACTTTTATTACGTAGACTCTTTCAAGGCAGGAATCTGTTGAATGCTTTCTTACGTTCTCATCCCTACATCTACAGTTTTCTTCTGAAATGAGAAGTCTAGCAGGCTGGAACTGGTCGATGCAATAGGAAGGCAAAAATTACCTTTTACCCATAGTTGGAATGAACAGAATTTAAATTAGATAACATAGAACCAGCTTATGTCTCAAAAAAAAAAAAAAACAAAAAACCAAGCGGGCAGTATTATGCAATGAAAGAGGGTGTGAGACAGGAGGACTGGATTGTGGAATGATGTGTAGGATCGTAAGGATTTATCCTAGACCCCAGTACAAGTCAGAAAGGCACTTGCTGAATGTTGAAAAGAAACACAGAATCAAAGCATTTTAGAGCTGGAAAGGATTCTTAGAGGGCATTTCAGCCTACACGTTTCACAGATGAAATGCAGAGGTAAAAGGACCAAATTACCCAGGATTTGATTAGCACTTTACCAAGTACTTCCACATTTATTGCCTCATTAAATCCTCATAAAGTGCTGGCAAATAGCAATTATTAATTCTTCTATTCAGAAGAAGAAATTGGGGCTCAGAGAGTAAAGCAGAAAAGCAAATTCCCTCCAATGTTTGAGCTTCTCCTCTGCTTCCAGGGCATGCCACCAGATCACAGTTCCCAGCTCTCCTGCATTTGGAGGGGTGGGCCAACAGAGTTCCAGCCAATGGAATGTGGCAGAAGCCCGCTCCAGGGCTGGCCACTAAGACCTAGCATACAATCCTTTGTTTTCACAGCTTTAAAATAGCCTAAAACTGGAAACAATACAAGTGTCCATCAACAAGAGAATGGATAAATAAATTGCAGTATAGTCATACTCAGTACTCCTCTACCTGCCATCTAGATGCATAAGATCCAGTAGAGCAGTACGAGGCCCCAAGGGATGGTGAAGCCACCACTTGGCTGGAGCCTGGGTCCCTGAATGACTCTGTGGAGCAGAGATGTTTTCTCTCATTCACTGACCTGAGTTAGACTGTGACGGGAGTGAGAAACAAACCTGTATTGTGTCCCGGCACTGAAGTCTTGATGGTGGTTGTACCAGTTAGCTTAACTAACATAGAAAGGTTAAGGGACTCAGGCAAAATCCATATATTAATTTATTTAACAAAAATCTATTGAGCACCTATTATATGTCTCAGATACTGTGCTTGGCACTGGGTGTACATCAATGAATTAAGACAGCTCTGGGCTGTGCCCTCCTGGGGTTTATATCTGGTGAGCTCACACAGTATGGACAGGGCTAGGATCCAAATGAAAATCTGCTAACTCTAAATGTCTTCCGTTTTTCTACTTTGCATACTTCCTCCCAAATAATCTGAATCAAAATGCATGACATTCCTCAAAGATCACCTTGAAAAATAGAAGATTTGTCCTACCATGTGAGTTACAGGATGGAGAAAACGAGGTAGGGGTTGTTTGTTAATCTTCTATGTTCCTCAAGACCTAAGAAGGCCCAGCCCTGGTAAAAGTCGCTGTATTGTAGAGCCTTAGTCAGTAGAAGGGATTGGAAAACCATTGTTTTCATATATTTAAATTTTCAGTTATTTAAGGATTAAACTAAAACATGAATTTCAATTTATATTGTTGAAAGTGACATGAGTCCATTTCCCTGCATTACTGGGGGTCTTCACTTCTCCAGATCAAAAATTCTACGAGCCTATGGATCTTTCTCTCTGATAACTGTGTTTTCTGGTGTCTCATAGTCACTACACAGAATGACTGTTCTCATTGTAATGCACTATTAAGGGACTGGGTTAAATCTCTTACACTTGGGATATCCTAAGCAATTGGGTGGATTTTTTAGAATACTCAGAGGCTAGTTTCTTATGGTTTACTCTCTTTTCTAGACAATTAATTTTGGCAAGCATATAGGACAAGCTGACATGGCCAATAGATTCTGAGTTTTCACTTGTTTGCAGATCTCACTCTAAAAAAATAAGATATATATGTATGTACATGTATACATATATATATACATTTATGCAATTTTTCCTCTTATGCAAGTGAATTTCACATGATCATTACTACATCAGTTAAGACTCTTTTAGTTGTAAGTAATGAAAGATCCATTCAAATGGGCTTAAACAAAAGTTAATTTTTGGTTCAAGTAATTAAGACTTGGTTTCTCTTTCTCCATCTCTCAGCTCCATGTCTTTTGGGTTGGCTCCATTCTCAGACAGACAATCCCCTCACGGTCATAAGATGGCTGCAGGAATGCCAGCCTCACAGCCCCTTAAATTCATATCCTGTGGAGAGGAAAAATATATCTCTAGTGGCATTCATAAACTTCTTGACATGTCATCCGATGGTGCTGGTTTAGGTCATGTACCCACCTCAGGAAGACAAGTGCAGGTTGTCTTGGGCTTGGGTCATGGACCATCTTGAGGTAGGAATCAGAATGCCATTGAGACCTCATAGACTGAGGGTGGGGAAAGGGTAAATCCCCAGAAGAAAATCTGAGGCTGATTCTGTAAAGAGGGGTAGGCAAAGGAAAACTATCAAATGCAATGATTAACACTGCATTGAATGCATTGAATGACTCTACTCATTGAATCAAACCCAGATTCTTTTCAAAAAACAAAGCCGTTAAGGAGCTTGGATAGCTGTCCTTGAAATTAGCAAAAGTCTGGGTAAACACAAGGATTATGATTTCTACCTAGCCTTAAGGACTAGAAAAGCTAAAAGAGTTAATAGACACAGTAAAACCTGTTAAAATAACTCTTGGTGAGAGAAAGTATAAGCTTGAGTAGGCACTTGGGAAGTTGTAATTAAAGGGAAAAAATAAGAAAGTATACATACTTTCTCTTAAAAATGATTTATTTCCTGTTGCTTTAGAAAAGGAAGTATTAATAAAATGACAAGATAATATACATTCAGTGCAATAGTGTGATGGGGAAGGGGAGGAATGGAAATACAATTTAAACGAAGATTGTTAATAAGAAAGAGCTCCTTGGGAGACTGCCTGGATAGATATCCCAATGTTAGGCATAAATAGAAAAAAAAATTATTTTGAACAACTGCTGTTTTTATTAGGAAAAGTGCAACAGCCATTTATGGTCACTTTATTTCTTACTGTTTTGGGTGGGATGTTTGGGATGCTTATCAAAATGAAGTTAACTTTTGACAACACAAATGAAGTCAGCTTTTGACGATGTAAATTAAAACCAGACTTATTTGAAGTCATGGTATGAGTGAGGTCTCTCTCTTTTGGTGAAAGTGACTTGGTTTGCAACCAAGTCGAACTAGCTTAGGCAAAAAGGGATCTTTGTTGGTAGGCTCATATAGTTCTGAGCTGGCAAGGGCACACCTGGGCCTCACCGACAAGGAATCAGAGATTCAAACACCATCTAGAGTCTTCTCCTTTCGTCTCTTATTTCTGTTTCTTTTGTGCTGGTTTTCTTCCTAGGGATTATGCCACAAACAAAACAAATGTTCCACCTTTCCGTTTGTCCTAGAGAGGGAGTAAGCCTCTTTGCCCAGCTCAGTTTTTCCAGTCCTGAGGAAGGCCTTTCATTGGCCTGGCTTAGGTCATCTGCTCACTCAGGAACAAAACTCTGTATTTCCATCAGCCCTACTAGATGTGGTTACTCATCTCTAATCCAGTTAACTCTAGCCAGGAGCTGGGACTCCCTACAAGATGTTTGTGGTAGGAAAATGGGCATTTTCCAGAAGAAAGAAGGTTGGAATGCTGGGTCAACAAAACCACAGATGTTCACACCAAACATCCAATTCTTTTCTTAATAATAAAGAATATTAAAGTCAACAAACATACTTATTACTTTAATAAGTAGAGAGTTACAACAGCAACACTAAAGCCCACACGTCAGGGTAAAATGCTTGGCACAGGTAGATAACCCATACATTTCCCAGGTGGTTTCAGGCTTTGCTTGGTGCCCAGCCTTGGCACACAGCCTCTCTCTCCTGCTCAGACCACCTAATGCCTATTGCAAGGCAGAACTCCACCCAGATTCCCAAAATGAATGCTAACCTTAGGGAGACCTTTGATGTTCTATGTGCCACTCAGGGACTCAAGGTCAAATCCTCTTTATCCTGCTTTTGACCTTAAGCTTCAGGTCTGATCGCCAGACCTCTGCTTTGCTCATCTTTACCTAAGCCAAGTCTCCCCCTCTCTCCATCCTTCCACTCACCTGTGTGAGCCCCACACAGCAAGAGCCCTTCACAGACACGCTTCTTAAAAGGAGTAAGCAGGACAGCAGATCTTGGTCTCTAAGTACCATTTCCCACTCAAAGGAAACAGGAGTCCTTAGAGACATGGCTGATTCCAGGGCTCTAGCAGGGAAGTATAAGAGGAGCCTGAAACACCTTATTGTCCCAGAGTGTAAAGAGGTGCTCAAAAAATGATGGGGAGATGTCACACTGCTCGGCGGGCTCCTTATCTTACTTGAGTTCTTAGCAGCATATAAAACTGCTAATCTCATCCTCCTTCTTGAAACGCTCTCCTTCTCTAACTTCTGGTCTTTTTCTACTTCTGGTTCTCTCCTTTCCTCAATGACAGCTCCTTCTAAGAGTCTTTTCTGAGTATCTCATTTTCTGCCCACCTCATAAATATAGGTGTTCCTGGGGGTTCTGTCTTCAACCTTTTTCCCTCCTCATTCTATTCCCTCTATGGTGATTTTAGCTCATCCCACAGTTTCAATTATTATATAAACAATGGCTTCAAAAATATATTTTTTAGTATGTTTATGTGTGGATGGAGATGAGAGAGAGAGAGAGATTGAGCAAAGACATCTCTCTTAAGCTCCAGAACCATATATCCATCCAGTTACTTCCTGGGTATCTCTACTTAGTTTAACCCACGCATATCTCAAAGATCACCTGTTAGAAATTAAAGACATTTCCTCCCTCTCATCTAGTATTCTTTATTTCTATTACTGCTACTACCAGCACCTGATCGTCCAAGCAAGAAATCCTGGGATTATTCTTAATGTCAATGCCCTTCAGCCAGAGACAACCAGGAACACACCTCTAGTTGAACAAGTTGAGTTTATTACTCATTGCAGTAAAGGCGAACCGTGGGACTCAGGAAGAGAGTGAGAAAGAACCTATCCAGGATTTGGGATTTGGATGAGTGATTTGAGAGAGGGTCTAAGGAAGCAGGGCTCTGCTCTACATTGGATGCTGTCAGAAAGAAGAGGCATTTTATGATTGGAATCTCAATACATCTTATCTACAGGAAGAACCATCCAGAACAAGGATAATACCATAACTGGTAAAGAAGTAGCTGTCACTCATTTTAGTCAAGAGAGGGGGGGATTTGGTATTTTGTGGATGGCACAGTGACCCTGTTTTCGTCTGCGCTTAGACAAAATTATGAAGCAGACTTGTTTTTTTCTCATGTTATATGGTCTCAGAATAATCTGTCTGATGTTGGTAATCTGTGAGATTCATATGCCCAACAGGAAATAACACGGCCCAGCTCTGAATACCAGGTCAGCTTCTGATGTCAAGAGCTCTTTTTTCCCCCCTCTCTCATTCATTGCTCTGTCATTCCCATATAAATTAGTTACCAAATCCTATTAATTTTACTTCCTACCTTTCGGTGGAATCTGTCTCCTTCTCCCCATCTTCTTTTCTGCGTCTCAAATCCAGGCCATTATTATTTGTCATTTGAATTACTACATCAGTCATTTAACAGTTCACCCAACATTTCAGCTTGCGCCTGTTCCAGTCCATCCTCTGCCCTCCACCCTTTAGCCAGAATGAAGTTTCTAAATATATCATCCCTGCTTAAAATTTTCTTCGGCTACATAACCAGCCATGTTGCTAACATTTAAGTGATAAAATTAAAAATCAGTGAGGTTAACAATGAAAATAAACTTTTTATTTTCTCCCTAAAAGGAATCAAGAAGGGTGGAAGAGTGTATTTACACAAGGAAGAGCTGACTTTGGAGACTGTTTTGATATTCTGATTCCCTCTTAAGAAATTATGACTCAATATGAATCAAGAGAGTGACACAACTGCTAACAAACTTAATGCGTTATTGGCACCATTAGCAGAAGTATATTGTCCAGAACAAGAAAATTATATTCAGTTCAGTTCTGGGTAATATATTTTAAGAAAGAAATTATTGAAAGTATATGTGCAGAAGAAGGCAACCAGGACAGGGAAGTTCTGGAAATCAAGTCATCTGGATAATCAAAAAGGTAGAGTTTAAAGAAAAATAAGAAGGGATATGACAAATGCTTTCAAATATCTAAAGAGCTGTCATATATAAGAGGGAGTAACTTTATTTTATACAGTTCCAGGGGCAGGACCAAATCTGAGAATTACAAATCCTAGGAAGATTGATTTCTGCTCAATGTAAGGAAACACTTGCTAACAATCAGAGCTGTCAAATAATGGAGCTGGCTTCCTGGAAGGGCAATGAGCTCCTAGTGACTAGCAGGTTTCAAGCTAAAGCTGAATAATTGTCTGGAAAGTATATGAACTGTAAAATAGGAGTGTCAAACCATCTGTGATGATAGGACCGTTGTTTGAGCCATTGTGGTCCAACACCTTCATAAATTACAATAAAACTAAATTAGTACAAATGAAAAGAGAAAAAAACCATAAAAAGTACAAGCTCAAATTTTTCATGATCTGATTCAATAAACATAAAATTAAATGTCAATAAATAGAATTAGAACAAACGTAAAAGGGAAAGAGAAAAGAATGATTTAAAAAACTGTTTGTTGAAAATGTGCATTTAAGATTAATATACAAAATTTCTATAACCCTTAACATTTTATTGTTCTTCACTTGTCACTGAAGAAAATTGAGTGACTTAGTAATTCTCTTGATTAAACCATTATAGACATACTTTGAATAAACACCATGCATCTTAATATTTTAAAGTTTTAATGTGACAAATGAGTTTGTTTCTTGTTAAAACATCCAATGCAGGTCAGATTGACGACAATGCCACTTTCAGGGAATGGTGTATATCTAAATGCTTCTGTGTGTTGTTTTAATACCATTCATAAGAAAACCACGTTTACAAAGGGATTTAAAATACTTTCAGTATGCCCAGGATATTCATCTTAATTTTTGTCCAAAATGAAGCAAATAATGCTGTATTTTCAAAATTTGTTTTTAACTTCTCATTAGTTGCCAGTTAGAACAATGTATCCTGTAATTAAATTTAACTCATCTTTTGTTGAAATAAATGGATTCCAGATCTATGAATTTGCTGTAGCTGGACATTCTTTAACAGAAATAAAATTCAGAGTATTCTATTAAATTCATAAGGGTTCGATGATAACTTTTTGTAGCTGTGCACCGTCAAGATAATCACCTACTTCACTGACAACCGTCGTTAAATTATGAAGCATGTGATAACGATCTGGAGAAAGCTTGTTCTTCCAAGCTTCCACCTTTTTGCTTTGGCCCTTCAATTCTATCTGCCATTGAAAAACATGTTGTGTTCCTGCCTTTTATGAAAAAATTCTGAAGATTAAAATTCTGAAG